GGCACCCTGTACATGTTTTGCTCTTTTTGAGCTTGATGGTAATGTACAACAAAAAGAACGACATCGAGTAAGTATAGTTTGTAAATAAGAACGAGACCCTGCAAATAAATATTTATTTCAAATTTACCATCACCGTCAATATTATGCAGTAGAACAAATATGTACTATGAGAACAATATAAACAAAGCAACAAAAAATCGATGCATATAGATTACCCGCGTAAGCTCAAACATTAGGCAGTGAAAAAAGGCTAAAGGGGATAAAACTTGATAAGAATTTGTGAGCAATAATTATAAGGCAACTAGAAATCATACCCCATACAAATATCGCTTGATCGATAGCGTAAACAAAAGAATGTAACCTCAAAAGTAACAGATCCAAAATATTTGTTGTACCATACTCTTTGGTCAAAAGTAATCCACTTCGTTTAAGATAATCTACCAACACTTCATCCCGTTTTGGGAACGTTGGCATATATTCGTATTGAAGTTCTCGTGTCCACCAATCGATTCTATAACCAAAGTACCCAATTTAACCGAATTTAACCGAAAATTTACAAAAAAAAATCGAAAGAAATCACTTTTCGCCGGGAGTTGTGTAGTGGTAATGGTAAAGTTGAGCACGAATATATCGTGGGGTCTCTTTGAACGGCTGGGGACGGCTCATGAGTCGCAAGACTGAAACAGTTACATTTCATACAAAGCTTCTAGCCTCAGCAAGTCCTAGTACAGTAGTTAAAGGCACAGTTCGCGATAATTCAATGGGCGGGTGTGTCAATGACGTGTCCGCGTCTCATTCGATATCACGTCAGGCAGTCTGACGTGACACCGAATGAGAGGCGGACACTTCTTTGACATACCCGCCCATTGAATTATCGCGAACTTTGCCTTTAAATAAAAATCCTATTGTCAACAGTTCTGTCAAAAAAGCATAAAAATTACTGAAATTCTCCACGGTGGCTCTGAAAATACGACCTCGTACTGAGAAACAAACAAACAATGAAGATGATTACAAAATATTCCGATTATTACAATTATGGCTTGATTGAAAACAATTACAAACCACAGCGGGTTAAGAACACAACTAAGGACGAGAATGAGAATGCTGAGGAAGATGAGATCGTTTTCACGGCGAAAACGACCGGAAACGAACGCCTCGGGGGTTGGAAGCTCGTTTAGGACGCCCACGCTGTCAGCGTGCCCACTGATAGGACGTGCCCCATAGCATTCAATGTGCGCTTCTGCGGGATAGACCGCATTGTAAGTGAAGGTGCTCTTTAGTTAATGGCTTATAGTACAGCGCAATACTGAGAATTGAGAGTTGCAAAGAGGGCTGCAATTTTCGAATTTCCTGCTTGTTTCCAAAATTGTTTGGCCTTTTTTTTCTCTTTTGTAAGACATATTCAACCTTAACGCTTCCATTCCCTACCTGATTGATCTTACATTGTGTCGTCGCTATTTATCTTGATGGAAAAGTCCATGGGAAGTGAGCAGGCAGTTTAATTTGACACCTTATGTAGGGGGCGGAGCAACTGCGGTGGGCGGAGCATCTGCGGTGGGCGGGGCAGGCTGGGTAGATTCATTCAGATTGTAATGACTGGGAGCATATCGTTGTAAGTAGGAATCAATATAATACTAATTCAGAAGCATGATAACAGAAAAAGGGGAACGGAGAAATTGTCGACTAACGAAACTAAATGAGAATAACGAGGTTCAGAAAGGAATTGAGCGAGAAATTCGTTCGAAAAGAGGGAAGTTTGACTCTTTACAATGGTCAAAACAGAAAAATTTTTTCTGTTTGCGATACTCATCGAAGGCATGGACGTCACCACTTGTCGCCCCTTCTCGTCTTAGTTTCGGGAACTCTCAACCCTTCAGTACTAACGGTAATCACTATCNACCTTCAGGGGTGTCCTCCATCAGATGGTACGTCAAACTTAAAAAGAACGGGTTATACCGATAAGAACCCAAAGCTGCGAACCACAGCTGCCAGTCCAGTCGCGGTTGATGAGGCACTGAAAAGCATCCATACAGATTTTGACTTCGGAACTGGTACATGAACTTACAAACGAAAATGGGGGCTTGAGACACATTTCCAGGCTTCGAATAAAAGCTAAACTCCTTCCATGGTCCATTGGGATCCACTGCTCCTTCCACAATGACCTCTGGACGACCGTTGAGACCAGTCATTCTGTAAGGAAAATATAAAGAAAAGAATGATAACAAAAACAATAAAAACAAATGACAGAAGTAGGAATAATAAAAAGAATGATGAAAACGGTTAAACTGAAGTACGAAATGTGAACATACGTTCTGAACAATCCATATGGATTGACTATCTGATACGGATCGATCCGGTAGTAGAAGTTCCTCAATGTCTCGGGAATGCTATCATGTACTTCCCTATCGATCACTACAAAGGGGACCTGGAAAAGCTCCAATATACCGTAGTCTAGAATCATTGAACTGTAAATCCTTACAATGCTAATGGTGAAAAGAGGTGTTGCTACTCCTACTGCTAACAAACAATAGAAAAGTTTTCTGCTTCGACTCGCCGGATCGGTCGTCCAGTAGCTGAACGGCTAATTTTGTTCAATTCTTTATCTTCAAATTATTATCTATATTATATAATTAATTATTGATATTAACATATCATTATTAATCGTATCATTATTATTTATATTTTATTAATTTATTTATTTTTAGTTTTTCAAGTTTCGTAAGTACCACGCTCTCTTATATTATACATTGATTATGCCCCTCACACCGCCTATGGTTGCTTCAAAATAACCGTGGACCAACAGTTTACCATATTTCATTTCTCCCAGTCGAGAGCCTCTTCGGAATCATACCACGATTCCTTGATTTTAGCTCCACCCCCCTCAGCTCGTACTGCGCCCACCGCGTTCAAGTGGCCCATATTCCGATAGCTTCGAGGAAAATGAAATTTCACTTGAAATTTGACCTTGAATAGAACTTACTTATAAATAGCATAGGTCACTGTTACAGCAAACATGAAGATGCCCAAACATACTACGAAGTATGTGGTTTTTGTAACAATAGCATCGAGTTGTTGTCTGTTGAAAGCTGAAAAGAACTCCCATCACCATATCGCTCGAAGAAACTGAATGACACTCCTGATGGGGTGATAAAAGAGCCACACCTATTTCAGTAGTAACTTGTAATCCAGGAATGTCCAGTTTCACATCAAACCAGTACATATAGTGAGCAGTAAGAACAATTCCAATAATGAGCGATAGGAACATGTCAGTCCTTGACGAAAACCATTCCACATGGCGTCCTAAACTACCGTGCACTCATATATCACCACAAAACCTGGAGCAGTACGTGAAAGACGTTGTGTCTAGGTGTTGGGAAAAAGCCAGTGGGCAGGTCCCGACGTTAAAGTCGATGAGGGTTCACTAGGAGCCAACTGCCCTAAAATCCTTCAGTTTCTGGTTTCGCATTATCTCTAGCATTATCCTAGCCAGGCAATCCAGCAGAGCCTACGACATCAGACCCCGCCCACAGGCATTGTAGGCCTCCTCCACCTAACTGTGAGCAAAGACGAGACATAAATAATGCCATACCTCGTTCCAGCATAGGAATACAAATCACAATGATCAGGATGTTGAAGAAGTTGTAGTTACCCGAGAGGATAATCAAAACCATAAGCAGCGCCGAAAAAAGGAATTATCTTGAAGGATATCAAATGAACGACAAATATGTATAAAAGGTTCGTAAGTTAGTTCTGAATAGAACTACTGTAAATTATAATTATACTACCTGTTGCAAGAATACAAATTTCTTCAGACATGAAATAGGCAACAGAAATGCTAGTGGCTGATAAATCTCGATATAAAATGTCAACGAGGTCGATAGCTGAAAATTTAAAGGTATAAGAAGAATGATAGAGGCTGCTTCAGAACTTTCGAGTAAATTACTTGATGATACATGCGATCAGAAAAATGGATCATAACCAAAGTTGTAAAATAAATAATCTCTGGAATAATTTGCCACTTGAAACTTCCTGATGGACGAGTTTTGCGCGGCATTTATCTAGTTTCGTGCGTCATTTATCAAATTTCTACAAAAAGTTCTTGATTGGCTTAATGAAAATGACTTAGATCAGCTCTCTTTTAAACACATAAAAGCCACAGTTCTTTGGTTCGTACAATATTAGCTGCGACTGCTTTTTGCTGATGTACCACTCTGTAAAATTTGAATTTGGAAGTGCTCCTTCGCTTTCCACCATCCACTACCAGTTTAATCATCGAAAATCTTTCAAGACAACACTTGAACAAGCATCGCCTTCAACTAAGCTCCTATATTTCCCAATCTAGCCACTGAGAAGTGAAATGAGAACAACGTTTTTCTAAAATCATTTTCAGAAAGAAAAATTTCTCAAAGAAGATTACCCTTTTGAACCAGACAGGCATATTATGGAAATACCATGCAAAAGGAGTGGGTACGCATTGAGATTCGTAGTGGATAACGACCGCTGAAAAAACGATGATTCTAACACGAAATGATGTAAGATTCTGAACATGGATTACCTGTAACACGGAATAATACAAAATTATACAACACAAATCACCGAGCGGAAGGAAAAACCTTAGCAAAACAGCGGAAGTTTCGCTTAGTGAAATCTAAAGTGCGGCGTAGTGCATAGGAGAAAAGTGGCGTTCGCTAAGAGAACAGTCGTGAAA